ATATAACTTTTACAAGAATAGTGGAGAATGATGATTACAACCTAACAAATAATAGAAGAAATAAAACCCGACGACTGCAGGAAAGACCGCTGTATCAGAAGATAACGATATCGAGTTTCTGCTTTACATCGCCTCCATTCTGTTCTAAATATAACAGAAGCAGCTTTTTAATTCATTTAATCAAGAACAAAATAAAAAAAAAGCATGCAAAATATAAAAAGGAAAACATGCCTACAGAGGGATTCTTCACCCAAGTAGTTACTCGCTACTTGATGTACTGGGAGAGCCACTTGAAGCCATCACCATATCCCATCTTGCGAACGATACTGCACATAAAGATCTCGAGGGGGCGCACATTGGAGTCTACGAGATTGACCTTGCCCTTTCCGGTGGTGAAGTTGCTCAAACCAAGGTGGAAGCGCAGCTCCTCCTCCGATGCTGCAGCTGCGATGTCTATCTTGTTTCCTAGAATGAGAAAGGGGACGTTTGCGAGGGAGTCATCTGAGAGGAGTGCATCGAGCTCCTTCTTTGATTCCGCAAACCTCTCTCTGTCATATGCATCCACTAGATAAACCACAGCGTCCACCTGCAGAAGAATAAAACACAGTATCCACCAAAATTAGGATATAATAGGAAAAAAAACAATTTAAGAATAAAGAGAATGAAAATGAAAAATAAACAGCACTGCGCGCATGGAAGAAAGACAATGTTATCATGCTTTACAAAAAGAAATCATGAATTTTCATGCTTTATGCGGAAAAATACAAGAACCTTTTGGATCGGTAAAAATACCACATGCTATCGAAAATCCACCTGCAACTTAAACACCATGTTTTATAAAACTACCACGAATTTTCAGATAAAGTCACTAAACCTCCATGAACTTCATGTTATTGTCAGATTACTAACATGTAATTTCAGATATTGTCATGAGACTACCCTAGGCCTGTGGTAGTACGTGGTACTCTTCTGCTGATTAGGAAGTTATATGGTAATAAAACTAGTTTATTGGTAGCATTATGCAAAACCCCTAAAAATTCACAGCAGTTGCATGAAATTTACCTCTATTAAACACAAAAAGCATTAGATTCATAAAGAAAGACCTTATACAGCAGCTAGCACCTGTGGATCTGATGCTGGACTATTTTATTGGCTGGGATGCTCATAGGGACATTTATAATCCTAAGAACTATCAATCTAAATCTGCAGGAAATAGCAGTAAAGTTAATGTTTAACATAATGAACTGGGCTTGTCAAATAGCAAGGTCCATTGTGTTTGAGGTGTGATGACTATCGGTATACCATTAAAATTTAAATAGGAGCTCTTCTCTACTCCCCCTATTGGGAAGAATTCTAAGACTTTGTACATGAACTTCCGAACAAGAACCCCCAATAATTTCCACATGGCATGTAAGTTCCAAATGGCATGTTTGGTTTCTGGAACACTACTCTATACCAGCGAAGAGCAACTTAAATCAGCTTAAACATATCTCAAGTGGAAAAAATTAAGCTCAAGAAACTTCATAGCTGGACTGTTGATATCCAAAACTTTTTGAACACAAATAATCACTACAGATGACTCTTGCATACTACACTAGCATCAATAACTGGACTACAACTGAATAGTAGCCATGGATCACTAAGAAAAGACAAGCACAAATCAACTTCATTAATTATCTTGTGATCATATCATTCCACTAACTATCAGAAAGCCAAACAATATGGAATTCTGTAGACCTCTACACATGCTGGTTGGCATTTAAGAAGCATTCATCCACTAGCTTTTCACTCTCTAGGAAGCAAGTTTCTTGATATGTGGCAGTTGGGAGGTCAAGTACCTCACAGACTTCCTTCTAACAAAAAAGAGGGTACAGAAGAGGAAATTCAAATATAGATAATTCAAACTTAGATGGCCTGTTCCACTTTTCAACAAATTTTATTAGGTCAAAGTACAGGCTAAATATCTCAATAGTAGGTGCTCGAGAAATTGACATCCCATACAAACAGGAAAACATACGAGAAAATGCTCTGTTTTCCAGTTTCCACCGCTTGCCACTTCCCTGTAGCGGACATGCCTTTTCAACCTGTTTTATTAAAACTGAAAAAGCTGGGGGTAGCAATGGAGAATAAGACAACTACCCTCTACTTCGTCTAGCTAAAGGCTTCGACTTTGATGGCAGATTGCCGTCCATCCATTTTGCACTGCCATCCAAGTCCATTTCAGTTTTTCCATTGTATGAACAAGAGGTAAACATGCCATCTCAGAAACTCGTCAATAACAATATACAGGAACTACCTAGCTCTATATTCCCTGCCACACTAGAATGTTATATCAACACTATTGTAAATAGCAGTGCATAGCGCCGCTATAGCGGTTTCATAGCGTTAGCGCTGGCTGCTACTATGCTATCAGCGAAAGCGGCAGCTAATAGTGGCCAAAACCGATATTTGCTCGTGATTGCATGCCATAGCTGGTTTTTAGCGCTTTTAACCACTAAAATCCGCTTTTATTTGGTGAATAGCTTTTACATTCTACCCGACCCATACCCAAACCAGACCCATATCCCCCGTCTTTGATTTACAGCCACAAAGAGAAAAACCCTAACCTCTGGTTCTCACCCTCTCTCTCCGATTCTCTCCCTCTATAGTATGTAATTATCTTTCATGACATTATCTTGCTTTGCTCATTTATCTGTGCTTACAGATTTTATTTCTACGTCAAGTTTTGAATAGTTAATATAATGATGGTGTTGCTAATCAATGGCTTTTCTATTGTTAAGAATTTTTGTATTAGAGACTTGAAGGAATGGAACAAATAACAGTCTTTTTGATAAATATGTACATTTTTAATTCTTCATAGTACTTTGTTAATTTTATGCAGTTGTTGCACATCTATTTCATGCTTAGGATCTTTATAAATCATCAAATATGCATTGTAGAATTTTTTCGTAATTTTTCTTATTTTTTAGAATACTTAAATATGTTTAAATTTGACCGCTATTTGACTGTGTTATTTGCCGCTATACGTGCAAATAGCCTTAGCAGTACCTCACCGCTACGCGACTTTATCTGCTATCGATAACGTTGTATATCAATAATATATACCCAAACAAAATTTGTGGTTGAAATTAGAGCTTTCCAACAATTCTTGAGTCATAAGCACGATGTCTAATTTATAGTTAGGAGTGGCCCTCTCTCTCTCTCTCCAACAATTCTTGAGTCATAAGCACGATGTCTAATTTATAGTTAGGAGTGGCCCTCTCTCTCTCTCTCTCACAATTCTTGAGTCATAAGCACGATGTCTAATTTATAGTTAGGAGTGGCCCTCTCTCTCTCTCTCCAACAATTCTTGAGTCATAAGCACGATGTCTAATTTATAGTTAGGAGTGGCCCTCTCTCTCTCTCTCCAACAATTCTTGAGTCATAAGCACGATGTCTAATTTATAGTTAGGAGTGGCTCTCTCTCTCTCTCTCTCTCTCTCTCTCTCTCTCTCTCTCTCTCTCTCTCTCTCTCTCTCTCTCTCATGGCACAGCCAAAATGAGAAAATAAGAATGCAACCAAAAATCCATGGTTTATAATGATATCACTACTATGTACAAACCTCAGAAAAATGAAAGCAAGAAGAATATATACACACAGAAATTAATTATCAACAAACTAAATGGACCCAGAAAAAACAATCCATCCTCCCAACGAGAGAAGAAAAATTGATTAAATCGCATAGAGTGATTTTAAAGACCTTACCACCTTTATGAATAATAAGAGAAATAAAAATTATCTTACTCTCGAAATTCTAACCGACCTAACAGTTATCTTGCTCCAGAAATTCTAACCAATCTTACTTAATGATACCTCTATATCTTAATGTTTAAGTTTAAAGAGACCATCTCTTCTAACTGACCTAACATTTGTGTCAAAAAATAAACCTGTGATCTGCAAGCCATTTTTATTGTGGGGATAGGAAAAGTATTCTACCTTACAGGTAATATTTTGGATACAGGCATTATCAGCAAATATCATGAGAATATCAGCCAAAAATAGAATAAATAACAAATAAAGGCAATCTCACCATGTCACCATCAAACAACTAAAAGAATTAAAAAGTTTCAAACTTATAAGAGACAAATAAAGATACTTCAATACATTTTTCCAGAAAAAAAAAATTACTTATTTAAGCTGAATCAAGTAAAAACATGTATAATGATTCAAACATGGATCCGACATTACATTTTATGGGGTAGGGTAATTATACGGAAACCAAACTTTCAATTTCAATTTATACATAAACCACCTTTAAAGTGGGTTTTTGTTGCGAATTGCAATCAACCACCTCCCGGTCAAATTTTCAAAAAAAAAAAAGAAGTTTAAAAAATTCATGTTCAGTATACAAGATTCAAGTTCAAAGTATATGAGTTGTATCCTAACAGTCATGTGCCTATGTGAGTTTTTTAAGAGTAATTTTGGGCTTTTAGTGAAAATTTTGATTGGGAGGTGATTGATTGCAGCAAAACCCCACTTTAAAGAGGTTTATCAATAAACTGAAATTGAAAGGTGTTTTTTAAAATAATTACCCTATTTTCAAAGTTGTTTCCAGGGGGGAACCCCCTATTTTATGATCAAAAGCAAGCAAAAAATAAACAAAATTTAAGGGAACAAAAAGTACCTTAGCATAATAATCCTTCCAAACGCGCCGAGCGATATGGTGACCTCCAAGATCAAAAGCTTTAAACTTTATCTTCCCAATGCTCAGCTCCTCCGACGTCGGATGCTGCGTCGGCTGATGCTGAACCAATCTCTGCTCCAAAAATTCAAAATACCTCACAAATCTCGTAAAACCAAACAAAAAAAAATCCAAAAATAAAAATAAAAACCAAACCTCGTCCTTGAGCATGTGAAGAAGCGTGGTCTTTCCCGCGTTATCGAGCCCTAGAAACAAGATCTTGGCCTCTTTCTGCCACAATCCCAACGACGCGAGCACGCCATAGAACCAATCGACAAGAAACATCGCTTCTCAATGCGAATTCGAGCAGATCCGGCGATCTGATCGCCGGAATTCCCAAGAAATCGAGATCCTGTAGAGAGAGTGAGAGAAACCCTAGAGAGAGAAACGGTCGATTTGATTACGTGCCCTTCTTTATTTTTTTTCCTGGCCTCACTTTTTGAAGGGGTTTTTGTAGAAGGGGCAGGGTGACCGGCTGTGCCGGTGGCGGGATTTTATTTGTCGTTGGGGAGACCGGTTGAGGAACTGGGGATTGCCGGTTGACCAATGGGAGAGCACGGGTGACAGATGCCGCGTCATGAAATGAATTTTGACCGTTACTGAAAGATCTGACGGTGGAATCGTTTTTGCGGTCTGGCGCCCTGCAGGAACACGTTAAGGCGGCGTAACAAGCAGTGAATTGAGACAACAAAATATTTAAAGAGCAAAATTGACTTGCATTTATGGGAAGAAGCCAAACAAAAAATAATGGTTAACCATTCTGCTTAGAGATTTATTTTTTTATTTATGGATAAAAATATTTCTGGGTGTTGTAATATATAGAAATTACTTATTTTTAAATTAATCCTTCAACTCATTGAATTTGTTATTACGTCTCACGATTTTCATAATTTTTTTCAAATCAATCACTCTAGTTATTACTTATACTCTTTATTAGATGGATTTATCAAATAATTTAAGAACTGAAATATCTAATAGTAATTTTTAATCATTTGAGGGGTCAACTTCTAAATGAGCTAAGAATATGCAATACATGCTAGCACTTTTTCATTATTTGAGGGATATGATTCAAAATATAAGAGATGTAAAACACTAATATTGTGGGGGAAAAGGCCGAAGTACGTGGTTTTCAAAATAAATGAGGTAAACTTTGAGTCTATTAGTTAAAATAAAAAAATTGAAGTTTCGTTTTTAACTAGATAGGCTTCTAAATTAGTGAAATTGCTATTACGTTCTCGTATTCAAAAATTATTTTAAAATTAATCTCTCAAGTAAGTAGAAATTTTATTACGTCATTTAATTCTCGCAATTTTTTTAAATTAATCTCTCTAGTTGTTGCTTCTACTTTTTATTAGAGAGAGTAATTTCATAATAACTTATTAAGAATTAATGAACCTAATATCAATTTTAATGACTTGAGAGATCAATTTCTAATTAACGTAAGAATCGTAGAAGCTAATAACAATTTTCATGATTTCAGGGATTAAATTCAAGACATGAAAGATTTAAAGGGCTAATAAAATTAATAGAGATGCTATAAAGTCTCTAATTCTTGTTATCATTTTTAAATTATTCTCTCTAATTGTTGTTTCTACTTTCTATTGAAAAGTATAATTTCAAAATAACTGTCTAAGAATTAAGAAACCTAATAGCAATTGTAAAGATTTGAGGGGTTGATTTCAAGTTAACTCAATAATTGTAAGGCTTAATAACAATTTTCATGATTTGAGGGATTAATTTCAAAATATGAAGTATAATTTGGGTTCGTATAAGTTATTTTAAGTTTATTGATGAGTAAGAGCATCTCCAAGGGATCCTTTGAATGCCCCTTAATTTAGGGGGAACTTTAAGGAAGGGGTTGGTTCTCCTCCAATGGTCCCTCCTTAAAAGTCCCATATCCCTTAATTAATTATGTTTAGTTTTTTAATTTTATATATTATGATTTGATTAAATATGTGGTTTATTTATAAATGAATAAGTAATTAAATATTAATAACTAAAAATAAATAATTAATTAATTTAAATTAAGAAATTATCTTATATAATCATTAAATTAATTAATCATATTAAAATTTAATTAACTATACATTAACTTAATTATATTAATAACTAAAAAATATTAATCAAATTAAATTAACTATACATTAACTTAATTATATTATTTTAAACTAACTATATATTAACTAAATTTAATTAACTATAAATTAACTCTAAAATAAAATACATTAATATAAAATTATGAGGGGAAGGTTAAGGGAAACATTCCCCTTAATTGGATGAGGAAGTTAAGGGACATGAGATTGAAGGGGAAAATTTTCGGCCCGTTGGAGCTCATCTCTCTTAAAAATCCCCAAATTTAGCTAAAGGGCCGGATTTTTTCCGGCCCCATGTAGATGCTCTAAGAAGTATCATTGCTATGCAGGTGGTGGTTACTCAAATAAATAAAAGGACAAATTTACAAAATCAACCTTTTTAGCATTTTAAATAGCAAAATCGACCTTATCTCATTTTATTCAGCAAAACCGTTGAAAAGGGTCGGTTTTGCTGCAAGAAGTTTTTTACGACATACACGGGACTGCTAGTCCCGTGTATTTCAAAATACACAATGAAATGCACGGGACTAGCAGTCCTGTGCATTTTACAGAGAGCAACGAACCAAGGGCACAATGAAATGCACGGGACTAGCAGTCCCGTGCATTTTACAGAGAGCAACGAACCAAGTGCACGAGACTGCTAGTCCCGTGCACTTCCTGGGCATAATGAAATACACGGGACTAGCAGTCCCGTGTATTTCTTGCACATAATGTGCAGAAATATGTATTTCTGCTGCGGGAAAATTCCCCGTACAAACTCATTTCAAATGCAACAATCATAAATTACACCATTGCATAAACACATATATCAATTTCCTATACAAACTCATATGTTAATTCCCTGTATAAACACATATATCAAATCATAAACACATATATCAATTTCCTATACAAACTCATATGTTAATTCCCTGTATAAACACATATATCAAATATGAAAATCATAAAACACACCACAAACTTACGAATCCAAATCCAACAAATCACGCCACAAACCCACTTACAAATCTAATAAGCCACACCACAGTCTCCGCTACAAATCCAAAAACCATCTATTGTCCTGAAATACGTTTGTAATGTACATATCAAAATAGGATTGTAATTTATATAACAATACCGATTAGCTTATATACATCCAAGAACTCTTCTCCTCCTCCTTTGTCTTCGGCTTCCTCCATCCCGACCTTCGATATCCGAAATGCAAAAATTACTTTAAAATTCAAATTACAATATGTAAATTTTATATTTAATTCTATATTACCTGCTCGAGCCAATTCCAAGCCACTATTTGCAATGGTTTGAACATCATCTATTGCTGATACCTGCAAATTTTTAAAAAAACATAATTTAGCAATATTGAAAAATTCTAATAAAAATAAACTTAAAATAAATTTAAAAATACTTACTAATTCTCTCTCATCTATACCCCGAGGCACATATCCTCTTTGCAACTCAACCGGGGATGTGGTCGCATGGAGTATCCATCTTCTAGTTATCCTCCAATACCAAGTGTAGTAATCTGATTCCTGGGGAGTTGGCTCGATTTGCTCAACAATACAAAAATGTCTATCATTCCATCTGTGTATATAATTTTGATGCTCAGCTGCCCAGTCCTTTTGTTGGCCTCCTTTCTTCGCCTTCCTCTCTATTTTTTCAACAAATTGCGGAACATGTTGTGCAAGACCAAATTGTCGAAGCACGCGGTCCGGTACATGCATTTCTACTATCTCGAAACATATTAGAGGAACTCTGGCTCTCCATATAACTGGGTATTCTGTGCATATCGGGGGTAGATGATCGAGAAATGGGGTGTAGGGCTCCCATTCCATCTACAGAGTATTACATATAATTGTTGCATATCATTAAAACGAAAGTTGATATATAGAAGAAAAAACTCGTTTTTATAGAAATGATACCTGAAAAATCTTCATGCGGTCAAGCTCATTTCGGTAGAAATCTAACTGTCTCGCCGGGGTCTCGTCAAAACATTTTTGGACATTCCATCTGTGTTAGTTTCAAAATTCAGTACCAAATGAATAACTACAATTATATTTACTACGTTAAAAAATATAATACCTGCATCCTAGTGGAATTTGTCCGTCTAATTGTAAATTCACGCATAGTCTCGGCTTCAAATGCAGCCTCTCCCATGCCCATACTTGCAGTAAGCTGAGACACCCTTTGAGGTCACTATTTTTCATGAATGCAACCTTAGACATCTCTCTATATAGGTACGCCAAAACCGCACTACCCCACGATAACGCACCACATGTGTCCAAGTCCCCGATAAGTGGTAACCACCTAGCATTTTCACAACATTGACTCTGTTATCAAAATAAGCTAAATCAACAGACATAATTGTAAATACTGATAAAAATGATACCTGGCATGCACTTTATCTTTACTCGAATCTGGAAATAATATTGAACCGATCATGTGCATAATGTATGCACGTGCATGTTGCTCAATCAATATTGGCGGCGCATCAAAAGGCAACGGCACCGAGAAGGTATCTTTTAGCCACTTCAATTTAATATTTCCTCTAGGCATTGACTCTGGAGCTACACCTAACAACTCCTCACACTTTGTCGGCCAAAAATGTCTATCACTGCCAGTAACGCACGGACCATCTATGCGGAGACCAAGTATCATAGCTACATCCTGTAGCGTAATAGTAGACTCTCCCATTCGGAAGTGGAAAGTGTTGGTCTCCGGCCTTCACCTATCTATCAAATCGGTGAGTAGGGGCCAATCGAGCCTCATCCAACGAAGCTTTGAACATGTCAAGAAGCCGGCCCGTCCTACAGCTGCTATTATGCGCTCATCCTCTAGATGCCAACGGCTATGGCTGAGGCTATGATCAACCATAACAATATCCGGGCCTCTCTGTAAAGCAAATGAATATATAAGAATACAATATTATAAGAATGCAATATTAAAATTATAAGAAACTTAGTTACCTCTGTAAAGGATATAACATGTGAACGGTGTCGAGGCTGGTCATATAGGACCTCATCACTACTCGATCCAAGCTCCATGGTGTATATACCTGCACATACAATTATAACATATCAATAACCGATCCACGACTAATTATATTGTCTACATTAAAATAAATCACAATTTGAATATGTCAATTATTACCAATTAATTGCTATCTATTGAGTCTAGCTGGACAACGAGGTCGAGTATGTCCCGGTTGTTTGCAAAGAATATATTTTTTATGCTTGACAATTCCTTCTCATCCTTGATCCATGGTTCCCCTAATTCGTACAGATCGTGGTCGACCTGCTTGTCTCTTGTATTGAGGTGGAATTAGTCGTGGT